GCCACCCAGGTGGAAAACCCAAAGCTGTGTGCTTTTGTAGACCAAAAACATTTTTTTTCTGAATGCCTTCTATCATTGGACTTCATTTTCTGATTTTTACTTCGAGTCATGCCATGAAACTTTATTTGATATCCTATTTCCTGTCCAGTGTGCCCAGATTTATAAGTTTTATAGAATGTAGCTATATTTTCCCTTGTGATAATGTGGGGTTGACTTTGGGGTATTGACAGCAAGACCAATGGGTTAAACCCACCACTCCAAGGGAGGAGTTTGAGCTGTCTGCTCCCATCAGTATTTCTGTCTCAGAAAGCCAATAGAGGGTCACTGTGAGTCAATCAATCCAATGGTAGTGACTATGGTTTTGACTGCTGATGGGTCAGTCATTACAAGCCACAGAACCAGCCCTGAGGATTTATGGGGTCATCTCTCAAGTATAACTCACTGGGAAGGGGGTATAAAATAAATGATGATCAAAACGTCACAGGCAGCAATTAATACTACTGTTTTTCAAAAGCAACTGTCTTGTTCAATCAATCTGTAGGAGCACTTTTCAAATAATAGGCCTGTGTCCAAGATTTACTTTTATGAATTTTTGCCTCCTAGTTGAAGTTCACCATAGAACTCAAGATTGAGTAAAATTGACTGCTTTCTTAGCTTTTGAATTACTGATGGTACAATGAAAGCATACATGATCTCTAAGAACTCTCTCGACTCTACGACTTCTTGATTCTTAACACTCAATAGTAAATATCATGTTGGCCCTGATACTTAAGAGTCACTATATAGCCAACTCCTCTGAACTCCCAATCCTCACCTCCCCATTCACTATAAAACTTTTCTGCACTGGTTTAATTTAAACAGGATTTTAAAATTAGCTTCTCCTGCTCCTATCCCTTTAACAATACCTGCCTCATTCTCAAAGGAAAATGATACAAAAGAATAAAAAAGAAGCAAGAAAGATAGAGCTTTTTTTTTGCCCTAAGTTCCAACAGTTTGACTGATCCTTGTGAATTTTTCTTACCACTGAGTCATTGCACATACAAGATTATGAAACTTTAATTTCTTTGGAGACTTGTTATATTAGAAAAATTGTTCCAAAGAAAGCAACAATCATGACATAAGCACATCTGGCTCTTGCAAATTATTCTTTATTAAGCTTTCATTTAATTACATGTGCTGAAAGGTCTGTTTTTGATTACTGTAATTTTTTTTATTTGTCCATCTGAATGATAGTAATGCTGGAAATTGCATGCAAACCACCTGTTTTTTCTCTCTCTCACTAAGATGACAAAGTTTGATCTATTTTTTTCTGTGGGTGATGAATTGGGAAGCATTCTATTTATTATGATAGAAATGTGACTGTTGAGAAATAGCCTACACTTGATAATAAGAATTTTTAAAGTACATAAATAAAAAGAGTTTCCAAGCTTTAAAATAGTGTTAAGATTGGAGTGTTTGACTTCTGGTTAACCAGAGTAGATTAACACTTTCACTTGTTGTCAGCTTCACCCAAGACCCAACAAAGTGACATTTAGGGATCATAGATATAAATCTTCAAATACAGATACAGAAGACAAAAATATTTGCGAAGGTGGAGAATGGATAGATTTCTGTATGTGCAGAGCAGAGAAAAATTGAACCCTAGCCTTTAAGGAGTGTAGAGCCAAAAAGAACCAAGCACAACTGGAAGCTGAACCCTTGAAATGCTTGGAATGGAAAGCACTGTGGATCACTGAAGTCAGGGATAATAGCAGAAATGTAAGCTTGGTTGCTAATCAGAACTTCAGATTCCTCTCCAGCGCCATGCATACAGGTCTGCTTCCCCTCGCTGCCCAGTTACGTGAACTAACAGAAGACTGGAGGTTTATTTCTTTAGGAAGTTGGACTTAAGAGATTTCTGTCTTAGGGACATCAGGTGTGGCTGAGAATCAGTGATGGTGCCACTTTAAAAGCAGAGAGACCACATGATAAACTAGACCTTCTGCACTTGTGTTCTCCTCCTTAGATCACTAAATGATGGTATGTATGTATCCAAGCCTCCACCCCAGCCAAGTGAGACATTTGAAGATCGCAGTTGGGAGAAAATAATCGAGGCCTAAAGGGTCTCTGGGAGTCAGGGTGACTCGATGGCAGTGAGTTTGGTTCAAGTTCTAGATGTCAGGAGCCCACAGTGGTCTGCATCATTACTTCTACCTTTGTACTCTGACCTTCAGCCCAATTCTGAGGACATCCCTCCTATATTTCTATACTTGAATAGCCAGGCAAGGAACATAGAGAACCTTCGAAAAGCCTCGATTATGAAAGAACTCAAAGACTGGGGAGAAAAGAGAGACAGCAATGCACAGAACAGAAAAAACATTGAAATTAAGTCCAAACCTTTTAATAGTATATAAAAGAGACCAGGATGCCCGGAAAAGAATCAGACAATAAGAATGTGCCCTTCAAATTATGATAGCATTTAAAACCATCATAGATGGCTTAAAAGATAAAATTAGGAGAAATATGATAATATATATATATATAATAAGGTCAGAGAAGGCAAGTCAGAAAAATATGAAAATTATGCTCAATAAGGAAACCCAACATTTACCTGATATGAATTCAAAAAGAAGGGGAGAAAAATTATCAATGAAAATATGAAAAAATGTCCTACCGTTGAAGAACAAGAATTTTCTTTCAAAAGGGCTGATTAAGTGCCCAGAACAATTCGCGTAAAAGAATCAGTAGATGGCATCATTGTGAACATGTTAGAACCCTGGGCACAAAGGGGAAACTTAAGTGCTTTCAGAAAGGGAAAATAGATTACAGACAAGACATCAGGGGTCAAAAATGACATCAAGCTCCCCTAACAGCAAGAATAGGGAGACAATTGGTAAATATCTTGAGGATGATTTTTAGAATTCAATAACTGTTAAATTTCAATTGAGTGTAATGGATATAATAAAAAAAAATTTTTTTTTAATAGAACTGTCCGTTCTTGAAAAATCAGCCTCCCATGCAGGAAACTACTGGAGGCCGTGCTCCCCTGAGCAGAGAGAGTTGGCTGAGAGTGAGGGAAACGTGGTGTCCATGACAGAGGGAAGGAAGCCTGTGAAGGACAGGGAAGGAGGTCCCCTGCACTGCAGTGTGGCGTGGGCCCAGAACTGTGCAACCCGTGCCAGCGGCTCAGGCAAGAGCAGGAGCATGAGACAAGAATGCCACCAAGCGAAAAGATGACTTGCAAGACCACCTTTTAATTGTTGTGGGTAGTTTACTGTTCTGTGGGAGTGGATGAGGAAGATGTAGCCATGGCTTTACTTAAAAAATAAACAACCACACGATGAACTTAAAGTCCAAATAAGTATGAACCTTGAGAAAGAAATGTGTGGACAGTGTATTAGCCAAACCAACCGAACTCGCTGCCGTGAGGTCCCTACTGACTCACTGTCGCAACCCTGCACACAGGGTGGGGCGGCTCTGTGGGCTTCCAAGACGGCCTTTTAATGGGAGTGGAAAGCCTGGCCTGCCCTCGGGATGCTGGCAGAACAATGTAACACAGTACACCGTGTTGCATTTTACCCTTGTCATATTCTCAGTAAGAGATTGGGGAGGGAAGTCTGGGAGCAGTCTGGTGAGGTAAAAGCTAGACTTTCAACTTTCCCTGTAGGAAGCCAGTGGGTCTGCATATAATAGTGTAAGTGTTTATACAGAAAGAGAGAGCTTTTGTTCCCACAGAGCAGGGAGGGAGGGAGGAGGAAATGGAGCTGGAGGACCAAGGCCGTTATGACCACCGTAGAGGCTGTTCTGCTGTTTCTGCTGGCCATGCTACTTCTGTTACGGTTTGGTTTGGTTTTTAAGCTGTACAATGATAGTACACTTATAAAATATGTACAAGAATTGCTTCAATAAAAATAAAAATCATATATAAAAAGGGTGGTTCACTTGTCTTTCAACCTTTGATTCTAATTCAGAAAAGTCAAAATAACTTGAAGTTGATGATTTTAAGATTTATAGTGTTGGGTTACCTACTTATCATTTCCCAGGGAGGAGAAACCCTTTACAGCCGAATAAATAGAATGAGTAAAAAGTTCATCGATTTGCTAAAGAGAAACCAGATGATCTGCTCTTGGATAGGAGCGAAGCGCTTTGTCACTGGGTTTGGATTGCGGGTCAAATGGGCAGTTTCTGGGCTGGGAGAAAGCAGCTTACTAAGCCCTCCCTAATAGGACCATAAGCTCTTGAAGGCTGTTACATAACCCTAAAACTCACTGACGTCGTGTTGATGCTGACTCTTAGTGACCTTTATAGGACAGGGGAGAACTGCCCCTTTGCGTGACCAAGACTGTAATTGTTTACAAGAGTAGACAGTCTTTCTCCTGAGGAGTGGTTTCTAACTGCTGACCTTGCAGATGGCAGCCAAAAGCACAAGCCGCGAGACGACCTGGGCAACCTTGTGTTTTACACGGCCTCGACAGAGTCATGTGCTGGGAAATGCATGACTCCCTTTAGGTCCTAGGGCTCGGGGAGGAGCATTCGTATGACGCAGCAGTATTGACTTACCGAGGGAGGCTCGGCCAGTACTAAATAAGACAGATGTGGTTCTTCTCAGAGTGCCTAGAGAAGCTTATTAGGTTATGAATATTAAAATTATGTAAATAGTCATACTTTAAAAATGTTTAAACTTTTAATAAGGATCATATAGGCGCCAAAAAGAATTACTAAAGGCCATTTGGTCAAATTTCCCTTTGGACAATTGCAAAACCTCAGCTAGGGAGAGATCGTGTTCTTTATATGTGGCCATAATGACCTTTCAAGAAAAACCAGGAACAGAGCCACGACTCCCAAAGCATTGTTCTTTCTCTTTTATATTATAAGGGGCCTCTTATTCTCCTTTAAAAAAAAAATAGTGAAAGCGAACAAATCACAAGACTGTCAGAGAAACAATTGTCTAACAATATGGTGAGTTGATTTTTTTTCAGCTGCATTTAAAGAGATCAATGTCTGTCTTCCCTGTTTTGCAGCAGCTCTATGCCGCTCAGCTGGCCAGCATGCAGGTGTCACCTGGAGCAAAGATGCCGTCGACTCCACAGCCACCAAACCCAGCAGGGGCAGTCTCACCTACTGGGATAAAAAATGAAAAGAGAGGGACCAGCCCTGTAACTCAAGTTAAGGTACGTGCTTTGCAGGATTGTGGAAACAGTTTGAAAATCGCATCACAAGAAATGTAGTGAGCCGATCTGTGTTGGGAATAAACAGCAGGAAGCATAGCAACATAAAGGAGCCCCCAAATGTTCTTCTGGACGGTAAATGTCATGAGTGAGCATTGAGAAACAGGTGTTTCCTTTTGATAACAATAGTGCCATAATGTGAGGTCTTTACCTAAGTCTACAGACTCACTTCTCAACAGCCTTTCCCTTTGGAGTCTGCCTTTTAGTTTGTAATGTTCATTGGCATTAAATGGCTCCAGTTTTGCTGCCAGCCTTTGTCACACACTTGTGACTTTCCTCTCTGTGTTCTTTAAACAGCTGGGGAGAAGGAGCATCGCTCCAAAGAAGGAAGATCTCAACAAAGCCTATAGTTTGCAGGCATAGGCCTCTCCTTAAAGAATGCTTGAGGGGTGTCATTACCTAGTCTTGGTATGCTGATGGAAAGTTGTGATAGGGTAAACAGGCTTTCCAAACTTGGGGGTGGGGCATTAAGAAATGCCTTTCTTTACTTATTTTCAGTCTCTTGAACCTAGTCAACTAGAAGTCCTTGGCTACAGAGTGCAATTGATGTACCACTTCAACTCTGTGCTGCAGCTGGTGCCTGTAGGTGGTACCAGTTGGTTTTTTGACTGTCTTTGTTCCCTCGGCTAAATTACTCAATTCAAACAGTTCAAAGAAGCAACCTTTCTTTAAAAAATGAATTGCTTTATCTACATAAATGGATATGATAAACAGACTGGTTTATTGGTATCACCCAAAGTACTGCACGGGGAGAAATTTTGCAATAATTATACCTTTACATAGCACACATTCAGACCAACAAAGCTGAGCTTTGGATACTAGAAAACAGAATTGTTTTACTTTCTGAGATTTGTATATAGGAATTTTGAAATTTTAGTAAGTCTTTAAAGTATGGAGCTCAAATACCAAAGATAAAAGAGTAAACATTTTTAAGATTGTTCTGTTTCTGCCTCTACACAAGGGACTCAATTTAATATGGATTCTTCAAAGAAACAGATGAATATATTTTGTTATTAGATATATTGACATATTACAATGGACGAGTTATGTTTTACAAGGCAGCCTTGCTTATGGAAACGACCTTATCTATTTTGTGCTCCAAATGGTTTGTAGTTGTAAAAATTAGTCAGAATGCAACTCAACCCCAAACGCTGGATTTAGCCATAAGAATATGAGCATCTCAAACACCAATGACTTGGGCTATTGAGTTTTAAGTATTTTAACTTGAAAAAGTCATTTTATAAGGAGTTGGCCAAATGGAACTGTACCAAACCAAGTCTTACTGGATGAGTAAAATGTTCCCTGGTTACATTCAAGTTTATGTCTGCTTTTACCATTCCAGCTTTGTGGGCCAACTGAATTTCATTACTCACTTGACCACATGCAAATTCTTAGGGAATGCTTTATATATAATTTGACTTGACTTTTGGGGTTAATAACAAAGGAAACATTTCTTATACTTATTAGAATGTTTATTGTTTGTGTGGGTAAATGTATAGAGACCAAGCAAGGTCCAAAGCAAGCATTTTAAATAAAAACAAATAATATCTCTTGACTATTGTGGATCAAATTCTGAGGAAAATCTCATAGCTTGTTAATTTAAAGAATTGTTGTCCCCGATTTTTTCATGTTTCTTTTTATTGTCATTTTTCACATCTGTCTGTGACATGGCCACTCGTTTTAAATTGAAACATGGCCTAGGCAACAGTGGGCTGGAGATAACAAAAAATAAGCTTCTTTGATCTTGTGTCCCTTCTTTTTTATTTTTTATTACACATTGTGCTAAAGTTTACAGAGCAGGTCCTCCATCTTACATGGAACGATTCATACACATTTTGTTCCGTGTCCCTGATTGCAGTCCCCATGTGGAGATCGGCATCGCTGTTTCCAGTCCTCCTCCTCTCCGAGCCCTCAGCACTGTGTCCTGCGTGGGCAAACACTGCCCTTTTGATCTCAGAGCAGAGTCTGCAGGCACTCGACGATAGGCAGTGATGCTTGACCAAAGGGAACAAATGAAGTGAGCACGCCAGTTACCCCAGCAGACTGTGATTGGGAGCACCCACGCACGGTGCACAGAGGGTGCCCCTATAGAGTTTGGCTATGTCCCTGAATAGGAGAAAGCATGTTCAGAGTTCAAGGATGCTCGGTGAACAGAATCTGTGAGGCAAGAGAATAGAGCTGGGCAGAGAGCTAACGTGATTGCTAGAGATCTGAAGAAGAATCCCCCGCGTCTCCAGCCGAATATTGATCCACAGCTACAGATGAGGAAACAGACACTAGAACACAGCAGGCAACGCAATGGCAAAAGACACAAATGACTGGAAATAGTCTATATTCCTGCTAGTCAGAGTAAAATGATCTTCCAAAGGGTGGGCATCAAGTTGTAGTCAAATCAAATTCACCCGAGGCTAATGACTATTTCAGACCTAAACAACAAAGCTTAACACAAGCCTGCTATTATTGTGAGCTGCCAGAGGGCTGGCAGGTGTTAGGAGTAGAACTGCTTCAGGGTTTTCCTGGGGGTAATCTTTACAGTTTCCCAGACCTCCTCCTCTGCAGTGCCACTGGCTGCGTTCTTAGTGCCACCCTTTGGGTTAGCAGCTGACCTCAAACCACTTGTGTGCCCTCTCCCCGCCCTCCGACTCCTAGGTAAGCCAAGAAAGGGTCACCTTGTTCCCCATCTCAGAACAGAGCCCACCAATAATATTTAAGGAACTATGTAAAACTCTGCCCAACAATATAAAGTCCACAGTATATAGCATCTGTTCAATAACTGCCAGCCTTACAGAGTAGAAAAGCCTGAGAAACAGTAAGAAGAAACATCAATTAACACAAACAGACCCTAAAGTGGCACAGTTGCTAAAATTAGTAGGTAAGATGTTCAAAAGAGCTTCCAATACAAGAAGCTCCTGGCTATAAGCAAGTGGGAAGACAGCAAATCTGAAAACAACTCCTGTAAAGCGAGAAAGCAATGGCGCAGATTCCATTCTGGTGCTCTGGAGATCGGCCAGCGGCGTAACAATCTGAGCAATATATAGGCTGCCCTGGTGGGAGCGTAGTAGGAACCTGTGGAATTCCTGCAGGAGAAACATATACAGTCTCAGAAACTATGTACCAGGGTTACTATGAGCCAGAATCGACTTGAAGGCAGTATGTTTGGTTTTTGTCTTTTTTTTTCTTTCTAAAAACAACAACAAAATTTAATGGCATTCTTGATTAGGGGCCCTCCGTGTTCCGCAGCCTAAGGTTTGATTTGCACACAATTTCTGTAAGGCGAGGAGCAACAGTTACTCGGGCATAGTAGAAGGAGACTTGCTTTATTGGGTGTTAATAAGTCCCAATGGCATTCTAGTTGGAAATGACAATTATTTAATTGTATAAACAAAAGCACTGCATTCAAGACTGATCAAAAGTAGGTGTTGAACACTTGTTCTGGTTCAGAAGGTAGACGACCACGTGAAGGCAAAAGGCATAAAAGATGCAATTGGTCCTCAGGATGGGAAAACACAGTGTTGGAGATGAAACACACCGATGGCTATCAGCAGCAGCAGGTTAGAAATGGCGTATGAAAAAGCTAGTGAATGGAAGATATAGCAATAAAACGATCCACAGGAATAAAAAAACAGGTCAAGTTAAGGGACAATACCAAATGGCCACTGAGGCCTCTGAAGACAGAAGGAACCGAGAAAATCTGCTTGAAGAAGCAGTGGCTGAACTATATACATATCTAGCTTAGGTATTTAAAATACTGTTGGCACAGCATCCCAGGATCTCACAAACTGCCACAGGACAAAAAATGGTGGATGAATGGTGACAGACGACGAGGCAGATACACACCTACATAAGGGGGCTTCGAAAGCTCCTTGGGAAAAAAAGATCCACGATCTGTTAATTTCCTTTAAAAAAAAAAACAATCTTCCTGAAGTTCCCTAGTATATATCCAGGGAATGATTGAAGCAGACTTCATGGCTTAGTGGTTAAAGCGCTCAACTGCAAACTAAAAGGTCAGCTATTTGAACTTGTAAAATTCTCAGTATGTAGCATTGTGGGAGCCATTTTTTGTGGCTGTAATCTTCTACAAAGATTTACAAGCTTGGAGATTCTTTGGAGGCAATTCTACCCCATTTTGTGGGGTCGTTATGAATCGGAATTGACTTGATAGCAACTGTTGGATTTGATGTGGTGTATGATTACATTATCAAACAAATGATTTATTTTCTCTGGCAATTTAGTTAAAACTCACCGGTGACTCACAGTGACCCCCTGTGGGTTTCTGAAGCTCTAACGATTTACTAGAGTGGAAAGCCCAGTCTTTTAGTTAAAAGGGGGCCAGGACTTTGGTGTCTCATAAACTAGAATTTAAATCCGGCCCCTTCTTGGCTTTGTATGGCTCTGAACAAGTGCTTTTATCATTCTGGCCCACATTTCTTCATTTGTAAAATTTGGAATCATACGATCAATCTCGTAGTTATGATAGTTAAGTGAGCTTATGTTTGTTGAATACTGAACACTGTGCTTGGTACCTAATGCCTCCTTTCTGCATTTGAATGCTTTCTCGGTGTAGAAGGACTTGCTGTCTTAAAAGAGCCATTCTGTAAATATACGTAGCAAAGCACACGAAGAGATACCACTTTTTACTATCTCTTTCCAATCCGCCTCCCCAAGTAGTAGTATTTTCTGGTTTCCCTTTTTGTTCCTCGTTGATCAATGGCCCGTTGTGCTGGAAGAGACGTTAGAGAGCCTTCAGAATCAACCTGTCACTGTACAGATAAAGAAACACCAGAGGCGTGTGATGTTCACCAAGGGGGAGGATGCTCTGTTTCTAAGCTTTGCTGCAGGTTTTAAACAATGACATAGAAAGCAGCTTCTCTGGGACTTCTCAGAAGCATAAGGGAGTTAACATTTACTGACAAATTTTGTTTTAGAGCACAATAATGATGATCTTAAAATGAACATTTAAGCGGATATGCTCCTCTCACCACTGAATTTCTCGATTGATGAAAGTGTTGTTACGGGAGTTTTATAGCAGAAGACACGAGACAACATAAAGGCTGGGAGCTTAGCTTTCAAGCTTCTCACGAAACTGGAGCCACAGCCAGATATTGGAATTCTTTCTCGGTGAAGAAGGACACGCTGTTTAAAAATAGACCTCCTGTAAATACATGTAGCAAAGAGTATGAAGACATCACTTTACATATGAAGAAAAGTTCCATGTAGCATAGTATGTAAAACATAATTATAGGCTGTGCTTTCTCGTTGCAAAAATTAATTTTAAACATGAGCAGAGACCAGAATATAGACCATGAAGAGTGCGCACACCCAGAAAGCCACACAGAAGCCCCGCTGTGGCATGCGGCTTTCTGGGCAGGGGCCCAGGGGATCAGAAGAAAGCTTTCCATGTTTCCATTTTTAAAGTACTTGCAATTGTTTGATTTAAAATGTATATTAAAAAATTAGCTGCAGAGCCTATTTATAGTCCCAGGAACTTTTCAGAGAGAATAACACAAAAGAACTACAGAGCTGCTGAAATTTTAAATAATTCTTTGTAAATGCCCTAGGTTAATTTAGATCCCTGAAAACACATTAGGAAATTAAGCTGTAATGTGAGCTAATTCAGATTTTAATTTGGCAAAAAGAATGATCCAACTACACAGTTAATGTAAATAGAAGCATAACACAGGGAAATTAATGAGGTTTCCTTCGAGGAATCTTCAAGGAGGTAGATAATTAGCTTCTTTTGTTATTATTGTAGGAGAATGTGGCATTGTCTCTGAGGTGTAAAATAACTGGCTTACTAAGTGATAATGTGTTTCATTTGTCTTTCTTTCTTTCTTTTTAATAATTATTTATGTTAAACTCTTGTAGGATGAAACAGCAGCACAGCCACTGAATCTCTCATCCCGACCCAAGACAGTGGAACCTGTTAAGTCCCCAACGTCGCCCACCCAGAGCCTCTTCCCAGCCAGCAAAACCAGCCCGGTCAGCCTGCCCAACAAAGGCAGCATCCCCAGCCCCATTGGAAACAGCTTGGGAAGAGGATCCTCTTTAGGTAAATGGAGAAGTCAATACAGTCAGAAAGACATTGGCAAAATACGTGAAAGAAAGCACACCTGTTTAGTGATGACTAATCCTTGTTTCCAACATGTTACTGAGGAACAGGTGACAGCCCTCTCTACTGACCATCCCCAATTTAGTATCTTGGGTGACTGGGACTGGGGAAAGGTATAAGATGTAAGTCATGCAAGAATGGCCAGTTATTTCTAGAATGGGTTCTTTAGATTGAGAAGAGTTAGGTCCAGCCAAGCATAGACAGGAATTCCTAGGGTTGTGAAATGCTTCGCCACTGAAAAAAATTCTAGACAGCCAGAGTGACCTTGAGATCTCCAATGGTCTAAGAGCCTACCCCTAAAGCTGCCTGCAAACTTCTTTTTTACACCTTATCCCACACTAATTTCCCACTGACACAGTTATGAAGGACACTGCAATGAGATCATGGGTGATAGAATTGTTAGCTAGGAAGATAAGTCATAAGATCTTCTGGCTTCTTGCAAATGTTGCTATCTGATCCTGGACAAGTTAATGTGCCTGTGAATATTTTTAATTTTTAATTCTGCTAGGGGTGGAGGGGTGGGGTTACATATTAGGTTTCTGTTTAACACTTTTTTAAAAGTAAATTGTTCCATAACCCTGGTTGCTATTTTCACAAGGTGTGAGAAGTTGTCTCATCATTTCCATTCTGTTTGCTCGGTTTCCATTGATCTAGCTTCCCTTTCCCTCCTTGCCCTCTTAGCTTTTCTGCTGAGTACATGATGACCATGTGGTCTCATACAGTTGACTGTTTAAGGGAACACATTGCTCACAGGTGATACTGTTCATTTTGTGAGTCAGTCTACCACTTGGCCGAAAGGTAACCTCCAGGAGTAGCTCAGTGTCAAGTACAGAGCTTACCTTGGGGCCTTCCTCTCAGGGCTTCCTCGGGCATCTCTCAGTCCAAGTCGGCCTGGCTTTTACTAGTAACTTGAATTTTGCTTCACAGTTTTTCTCCCCTTCTGCCTGGGACCTTCCTTGTATCCCTGGTGAGAACATATTTAGTGTTTCTGTACATAATTTTAAAATCTATGCAGTAGGGGTATTCTTAACCAGTTCCTTCTGCTATGGAACCTTTTGTAAAGTGAAGAAGCAATGGCCATTAATTTGAGCATTCCCAGATCCATCAGTAACTTATCAACTCATAATAAATACCATATAAAACCCAAAGTAGCACTGAAGGGCTGTGTTCTCAGACATAGTGTAAAGCTATGGGGGCATGATGCGGAGGGCAGTTCTGGAAGAGGTTGAGGTTGACACCCTTGCTGCTTGGGGGTTGTGAGGGAAACCTCTACCTTATGGGTTGTTAAAATGTGGATCGAAAGAGAGAAGGAAAAAAATGCTAGCATAAGGATTAGTAATATGCTTGACCTTGAAATAGCCCTGCTTTGAACTGCTGGGTTTTGTTTGGAAAGCATATGTCTGCTACGGGGAGCACCATGAACAACTGAGAGGGCAGTGTAAGGGGACGGCTCTTCCGGAGCGGACACTCCTGCCGAGCATGTTCCTGAGGCACCTGAGCTAGAAATGGGCTGAAGTGATTTGATTACAACTTGTCCATAGTTTTGGATAGACATCGTCTTTTTACCTGAGGAAGTCGTAGAACAAAAGATGTGACTTCTATCTCCTAAAGAGTAATTCCTTGATTCCGTGTCCTAAAAAGTCTTTCCCATTGTTTGGGGAAATTTCCCCCAACCCAAAGGCAAATGCACATGCATTGCACACATACAGACATGTGCTATGGACTCGATTCTACTTTATTTTCCTCAGCCCTGTCTAAACCAGGTACCCACACACACATACACACATGCGTGCACAAAAGATGTTCACAGGCAACAAAAAACAGGTGGATCACGTTAACTTTCCACAGTAGGTCAAATATATCAATCACTGAATAGTTTTATCTGTTTTCATTAAAAATTAGAAGCAATGTAACTGAAGTATTCATCTTACTTCAAATGGACGCTATTGAGAAAATTAGTGGGTTCCGTTTGGATTTTCCCTCGTGCTGCCTAGAATATACTGACCTACACATCTCGTCTGACTGGATGAGAAGCTGTGTTCTTTGGGAGGACTGGTCTCACCGAGCCTGCGCTCGCCATGCTGTCAGGCAGGCAGCCGAGAGGGGTGCGTGCTCAGTGGGCTGTCACTCTCTTGGTAAATAACTCAGGCCGCATGATGGGTAGGATGCTTCATTAACCAGCCAGCAATTTGGGAATGCGAGTGCCCACCCGCTCTCTCCTGCAGTGGACATGTGAGCACACTGACACGGATGGCATGAGAGTCCCCTGTAGCCTCACAGATGGCTTCTGCTAGGGCTGAAACAGCTTTCCTGCATGGGCAGGACACATGTAGCAGGTAGCTGGGAGAGAGAGCCCCCCCACTGCACTCTCACAAAGGAGGCAAGGTGGCACATCATCGTAAGACATGGGCAGCCAGCTAGCTCCTCCCCACCACTCACAGTTGGAACCTAAGAACCTTCATGGGTGGGGGCAGTTTGAGGAGGTGGGAAGGCAGAGCCCGGTGAACTTGCAGTGCCAGGGTGTCCTCCAAGGGCGAACGACCCAGCACAGCGTGGTGGTCCTGACTGTCTAGGCTCAATGAATAGTATTGCCTCGTGTTCTTCCTTGTAAATGTACCCCTTCCTTACCAGAGAATCCAGGAGGACAGTGGGTGGTAGGAGGGGGTTTAGGAGTCGAACCTCACAAGCCCACTAATAATGCGTCCTGTGTACACAGATATCCTGTCCAGCCTCAACTCCCCTGCCCTGTTTGGGGATCAGGATACGGTGATGAAAGCCATTCAGGAGGCCCGGAAGATGCGAGAACAAATCCAGCGGGAACAGCAGCAGCAGCAGCCACACGGTGTGGAGGGCAAACTGTCCTCCATGAATAATATGGGTCTGAACAACTGCAGGAGTGAGAAGGTAAAGCCCGCTTCTCTCCCTCCCTCCCCGGCTCTCCTCCACCCAGGTTCCCAGGCTCCTCTCCAGTCTATCTTGTGTTATGTTAAAGCTTTCCTAGGGATGAACAAATACACCCAGAGATGTTCTACTCCCGTGAAGAGTTAACGGTCTCAGAAACTCACAGGGCCCCTTCTGCCCTGCCCTGTAGGGTCGCTATGAGTCACTATTGACTCCAATACGGCATTGGGTTTGGAGTTCAGTTTTCGGTTCCTACTAGTTGGCTCCCTTCCAGTTACCTCACCGTCCTGCCTGCTGGTGTGTGTCTCTGTGATTTGGAAGTGATTTAGAAGTATCTCCTATTAAAGGGGACATATGAGTTTATTAGACTGAAACAGTATTGAAAAGGAAGAAATGTATGTGCACAGCATGAAAGCTGATATGACTATGACTCAGCATTAAATTTAATAACTTTAATAATAAAGTTATTATTTTTATTAAAATGTTAACCTAGAATAAATAAATCATAGCAAAATATTTTATGAAATACATTTATTTATTTTTTTAGATTTAGCAAATTATTAATAGAATGTCTCTTATGTAACAGATATTGCTCTAGGTACTAGGGAGACAGCAGTTAACAAATCAGGAAAAAATCCGTGCCCTCATAGAGCTTACAGCAGAGGCATGGAGAGCTCCCTATCGAGTGTTATCAAGGGTGGTGCTGGGATGAAGCACTTGGAGGCTCACTGAAAGGTCATGTTTGGACTATCCAATGGTTCCCCAAGAACAAAGGCCCGGGGGTCACTCCGATAAAGATGGCAGCCCAGGAAACCCTGTACAACAGTGCATTGTGGTCCTGCAGAGTGGCTCTGAGTGGGAAATCCCTCATAGTACACAATAGTACAATGTCAGAAAGTGAATACATGCTGTGAGCAAGACTGAAGCAAGTTAAGGGAGTAGGGCAGGGCTCCTCAAACTTTTTTAACCGGGGGCCAGTTCACTGTCCCTCAGACCATTGGAGGGCCAGACTATCGTTTAAAAATAACTGAACAAATTCCTATGCACACTGTACATATCTTATTTTGAAGTGAGAAAACAAATGGGGCAAAAACACCTGGCGGGCCGGATAAATGTCCTCGGTGGGCTGCATGTGCCTGTGGGCTGTGGTTTGAGGACCCCTGAAGTAGAGGGTCATAGGGTTCACTTAAGGAGGGTAGTGAGGACTCTCTGAGGCAGTGACATGAAATGCAGACATGAAGGAAGTCGTGTTGCAGGAAGAAGAGCCTTCCAGACAGGAGGGACTGTGGTCACAGAAGCAGCAGGGAGGCCAGTGAGCCATGAATGGCCCCGAGACGGAAAAGAGAAAGCAAAGCCCTGAAGCAAGTCCAGTGCCGACAGATCAATCCTGACTCAGAGAGCCCCTGGAATGCAGTGTAGAGCCGCGTAGCTGCTTTGGCTGCCTGTAACTGTCGACTCACCTGAGCAGCCATCTGCCCCTTTCTCTCCCACTAAGTCGCTGGGACAGCGGGTGGGAGCCACTGAACCAGCGACCTTGTGGTTAGAAAGCCAACACTTCACCGACCACACGAGGGCTTCTTTAGAGAAAGGAAAGCTGCAGCAAATGAAGTAAAAACAGTAGCCCGGAGCTGAGCATCTTAGACCTAAAGGCTTCGACTTTTATCCTGTGATGGGACATTTTACAAGGATTTTTGTCTCAAGTCTTGCTAGAATTGGATTTATGTACGAGAATCATTCTGACAATTGTGAGAGAACGGTTATCAGAAGTTAAGAATGGAGACAGAACAAAGAGAGGCTATTGTAGTCGACTGGATGCACAATTGTGCTTATTTAGTAGGATCTGAAGCATGCCAGTTTATCTGGTTGAAAGAGACACAAATGTTTTCCAAGTGCTAAGTTCTAGGAAATGTTTACACAGAACGTTTACAGGGACACATGAGAGTGGTATGATAGGAGAGGTTTTGGTAACTTGAAGAGTAGTTGGGGTGAGGAGCAAAGATGTGGCTTTCTACTCCCTGAGCATAGTAGAAAAACACCACAGGGGCAGTCTGTCCTGCCCTATAAAGTCCCTAAGAGTCAACATCAACTTGATGGCAGGGCGTTTGTTTTTTTGGTTCGGTTTACGAGTAAGTAACAAAACGTATGAATTTCCATTCATACATTTACTCAGCAAAGGCTAAGAATACAGCTCACTTAAGTCAGGACCAAGGCCTCTGTTTTGTTTCAGTTCATGCTAATTCTAACACGTGTGCTGTGGCCCGAGGGAGCGGTCATAGGAGGACAGTATGCGGTCCCAGGTGCTGGCGCCCCAGCCTTTGAACACAGAGCTAGAACCAGGGAGGTTGCTTTCTCTTGTGTTGTTTTCCCTGTGTTCCTGCTACAAAAGGCGTGGTGATGTGACCGTCTGAGAATGTGGAGCACAGGAGTCATTGCTGGGGCTGAGTAACATCGACCCCTGATTGTTCTCCTTTCCTGCCTGGCTGCTGGCCTGCAGGGGGCCCGGGAAGAGTTTGAAGAGGGTGGGAGTATGGTGGGCCCTTCCAGCAAGTATGTCCTCAGGCAGATGAAGAATGTTAGTGAAGCTTAGTAAAGACTTGTACTTTACCCTCAATTCTCACTGTACTGGTGTATAGTGAGATAGCTATACATCCGTACATGTATAGATAGCCCTCATTATCTTTCAGACACACACACACACACACACACACACACACACACACTTACATGTGGTTTCTACGAGGAGGCTTCAAAAAGTCCGTGGAAAATTCTGTTATCTTTTCATCTCATTTGTTCACAAACGTTTGAAGCTCACATGTACGAGTGTGTGTGTGTGTGTAGAGGGAGGGAGGCAAGGAGGAAAAGTGAAAGTCCCTGGGTAGCAGAAACAGGTAAATCAAGCCCAGAGGGTGACAGACAGTTCCTATGTATCTAGAGTCACCTGTGGAAGAAAGGCCTTCCGTGGAGTTGCCAAGAGATAGGGTTGATTTGATGGCAACTGGTTATACTGATTGGGCTTCAAAAAAATTCATGGAAAAATTCCATATTTATTTTCAAATCCATTTTCCACAAACTTATTGAAGCCGGGGTGTGTGTGTGTGTGTGTGTGTGTGTGTGTGTGTGTGCGCGCATGCGCGGGCACAGCGCACACCAGGAGCCCTGGGCGTGTAGTGGGTGGTGTGCATTGGGCTACTAACTGCATGGTCAGCAGTACAAAACACCATCTGCCCCTTGGGAGAAAGATTAAACTTCCTACTCTTGTGAAGAGTTGCAATCTAGGGAACCCACGAGGGCAGTTCTACCCTGCCCTGCAGAGTCACTATGAGTCAGAATCGACTTTGACAGTAGGGCGTTTGCGTTCTTGTATGTATGTTATGTGCTGTCTAGTTGATTCCAATTCACTGTGAACTTGAACTGCCCATAAGGTCTCTGAGGCTGAAGTATTCATGGGAACGAATCTCCTGGTCTTTTTTTCCTGCAGTGGCAAGTGGTTTCAAATCACAGACTTTTCAATTCATAGAAGCACTTAACCATTGTGCCACCAAGGGTATAAAGATATATTTGTACATACATGACATACATTTAATTCTGTATCTGTACAAACTTACATATATATATTGGTCATTACTGGACTCACTCACTACCTTGGTTGACCCTCCGGTGGAAGACTCAGGTCATGCAGGAAGGGGTTATGTGGGGAAATAGTGGGTTGGGGTACTTGTTAAGCAGTAAACTTGTGTAGACTGGGAGCTATTCATGCATCTGGTAATCACTGGTTGTGCTCTGTCAGCTAAGTGTCCTTGTCCCACTGAGGGCCCTGTTCCAATTTGAAGTCTTGATATCAGCCAACAAAGACAGAGCTCCTCCCTAAGAGCTATCTGATTTAGGATGTGGCTGCTGATAAAGTATGACTACCCCATAGCTACTATTAATGACTCAGAAGTGTTCTTAGTAAGTGCCAGGTACCATTGATGAGTTTAGTAATACACGTTCTCACTTGAAACAGGAGCCACAGCTCTGACACCCTGGATGAGATGACTGACCTCTTGGTAGTAATCTGAGCTCTAATGAAATAAGATATCTGTAATTTCACCCAGCACAGTGCCTGGTCAAGTGTAAGCACTTTCTTGTGCTTCCCTTACCGTTTAAACTAACCTAAGGTAGACCCCTTACTACCTAGAATCAATATACTACTTGGGTACAAATAGAAGAGCCTCACCCAGGAAGGGTCAGCAGAAGGAAAAAGTCGATTTTTCAGATGTTGGCCAAACCACAAAAATATTTTAACTGCTTTTCAATTGAATTAATTCTCAAAGCTATGGAAACTTCAGGATCTTATAGGTGTACTATCAGGTGTAATTGGTTTATTAGGGAAATCAAGGCTTCTCACCTTTGGCCATCCTGGCTTTGATAGAGCCATTCTTTGTCTTGGGGAGCCATCTACCTTTCTCTTACTGGGTGCATTCAAAACTTCATTGTGGGTGCTGAGTGTGTCTTGTGCCGACGCCGTAGGCTTCTCGTCATTTCCAAATGTTCTGCAAGGTGTGGAGGGATTACCCTGGTAAGAGCTAGACCCTGATAGGACTAAAGAGAGCACAGTACAAATGAATACATTTCAGAACTCCATTCCGTACACACAGACATATTTCACTTAAATCACAATACTTAAGGGGAAGTCAAACAGTATTGCTACAATATTTTTATAATTTTTTTTCTTTTTTTTTCTTTTTTTTCTTTTTTAACATTTTATTAGGGGCTCATACAACTGTTATCCTAATCCATACACACATCAATTGTGTAAAGCACATTTGTACATCGTTTCTCAAAACATTTTCTCTCCATTTAAACC